CATCATCCTAATCAAGGCGTTCCATGGCATCTCTGGGCCAAAATAAACCCTGACAATGTTCAACAGGATTTCAGAGGGTGAACTAATGAGGGGAGTCGGAGCGACTACAAAGGTGTGAAAAATGACAGTTGTCAGATGTTATTGTGAACACCCACTGCAGAAACATCTCATCCAAAATGTTCCTTCCTTCAAAAGCATAAAAGCAATAAAATATGTTTTATGACTATCCATAAAAGCCTCATGTTTGCCATCAGTCATGCAGCTTGCCAAACTTCGCAGGCCCTGGTGAAGACATCTAAGGTGCATGTTATCCCTATAAGTATAGAAAGCATTTTTCTGCTAGACGTCGTGGAAAACATGCATTCGTAACCAATCTAGATTAGCAAAAACAGCATAAACTATGAATAGTTGTCTAGATTATTGTTGTGAACACATTTAATGATCCTTTCACAAGCACTGGCAACACAAACACAAAAAGGCCAAAGTTTTTAGCTTTTAGTTTTCAGCTGCAGTGAAGAGCCTCAGCACGTAGAACCACATTTTTCAAAAATCAACACTGATGTAGTTTTGAGAACACAGAAAGGGCAGTGATGCATTAAACATAAACATAGAGGCCTAAATGGGCAGTAATTACTGCAGATCATTAGTGCTTGTTAAGGGAAACAAGGCAGTTGACCAGACTGTCTCTCTCCAACACACATACATTTTCAGTGCCACACTCAATGTGTATACTGCGTTTCTTTCTTTCTTTCTTTCTCTTTCTTTCTTTCTTTCTTTCTTTCGGAGGGCCCTTGTGTGTTCAAACCACACCTTCCATCTCCAAAAGCCTTTGCACAGTGCACAGAAAGTTTATAATTACCACACAGGCGGTTGAGCATCGTCAGATGCCAAAAAATGAAACAAAACAAGCAAATGCGCATCCAAAGAGCAATAGTACTCTTCCAAAGCAAACTTCTGAGAGCGAATGGATTTGAGATGGCTCTCCCTTGTGTTTGCATTCCGTGTTTACTTTCAATAGAGTGTCATTCCATAGAACAATACACCATTGTTTTAATGGCCTGTGGTATAAGGACATGTACATCACTTTCCATTAACAATAAAAAAAAAGAAAGAAAAAGAGGAGAAAAGAAAAGTGTCTTGACTCAGAAGAGTCAGTGAGTTAAAGATCATTGTTATGTCATGTTGTATTGACGTGCAAAAAATTTGAAACATCACCTGCAGCTATAATGCCAAACATATGTTAATGTCCTAACACAAAGAGAGAAATTACATACCTGTGCTGTTCTGTCATTCCTTGAGGCACTTTACCACATGGGAAAGTGTGTTTTGACTTTGAGATACAAAGTCACAATTAGGGGAAACAAAGTCCCATTACATGAAACAAAACGCAATTGCAATTATGAGATAAAAAGTCATAATTTTTACCCTCATCACATTTACCCTTTTTTAATATTTATTTTTACTCTATTTAAACCTGGTTCCATACCTGACAATATCTATTAAACCACACAAACAACCCTCTCTGAGACGTACAAAGTGTGTGTGTGTGTGTGTGTTTATGTGTGTGTGAATACACTTACTTTATTGCAAACATATGAATACGGTACTGTTTAATGGTTTGGGGTCAGTGAGATTTTTAATGGGGTTTTTTTCAAAGTAGTCTTATGCTCAAAATGCTGCATTTATTTGATCAAAAATGCATAGTTCAAAATTAAGTACAATTTCACTGTTTTCTATTTTAATATATTTTATATTATTATTATCATTATTATTATCAATTTTGAAAAAGTTGTATTGCTTGGAAACTGTGATACATTTTAGAATTCTTTGATGATTAAAAAGTTTAAAAGAACAGCATTTATTAGAAATTATTCATTACATTAATAACATTATTAATGTCGTTACTGCAATTTTTGATCAATTGAATGTGTCCTTGCTGAATAAATGTATTCATTCATTTATTTTTAAAAAGTGTGTATTTCAGTAGATTCACAATACACACCAGGGTATGTATAAAATGTTGCATATAAACTGTCCTAAATTTGTTCTAAGATCATTTCTCAAAAGTGCATAAGTGCGATTCAGAGAAAACGAACGTGTGTACGCCTCTCTTCCAGATGTGACATTTATAAACCTTGAAATTGTGCTCAGCTGACTGGTGTCAGATCTCCGCCTTGTAAACGCCCCCTAATTAATATCATTACCATATAAAATAGCACACGCCAATATTTGACTTTCTATGCTTGAGAATGACGAGCACAAAGAAAAAAAAAAAACTTTACTGAGTCTGAAATTGAGGTGGTGCTGGCGGAGGTAGTGGTTCGTGCGGGGACACTTTTTATTTAGCCTAATAATGTGTAATTATTCTGTGGACAAACAATGTGTGTGTGGTTATATTTTTTCTATTGACTATTATCAAAATTACTACTTCTAGAAACAACAGAAATAATAATAATAATAATAATTATTATTATAATAATTATAAAACAATTAGGTTTCCAAAAGTAATAATAAAATACGAATTCAAGTAAAATTCAGTCATCTTATAAAAAGTGAGCCATCCTACTTTTAAAATCACTTGCTATGACAACTAATAAAAAGTTTAGTAGGCTATCACGAAATTCTTGCAAAACTTAAAAAAAAAAAAAAGTTCTGAAAAAACCTGCATGTGATTTGGCATTTCTTTATATTTACAGTTTACTAATGTTGCTCATATGTGCCATTAATGTAATGTACTGACACAAAAATATATAGTGTATTTTATAAAAATATAACTGATGTAAATGACAAAAACAAAGTTAAAGGCTGATGTCTCTATTCATTTTCACAGAAGCAAAGCAGCAGATGTTACAAATAAAAACAGTTAACAATGTTATTGAATAGAATGGGCTATATTAAAACAGTTATTGCACGACAGGCATTCTTATAGGCTACACAGACAAAACCGTCGGAGATGCGTTTATGCATTTTTTATTTTATTTTACGCATTAGTAGTAAATCAAGACTTCGCAAGTTCTCTTGTAAAATAAAATAATAAAAAACAACAACATGGAATA